ATATATAATTATATTAACATCTCTTTAAGTACTTTCTTTCTTTTACTACTATTTTTGAATGATTGTAGAAATGTATACTTTGCTGTCATTTTTCAGTTTAGGGCATTTGGGACTTAAATGCATAAAATATTAAGCAAAAATCTAATTTGCAATTATGCTTAGAACTAGGGCTGTTCGATTCCGAAAGTTTTAAGGAATGAGGACTCTATAATCTCACCATGATTGCAGGATAAAGTCGTAGAAAGTATCCTTCTCATAATATGAAGCTTTATTTGTAAAAAAAAAAAAAAAAAGACGATACATAAATTGTAATTTTGTCTGCTTTGCCCGTGAAATTAGTAATAGCCCACAGCTCAGCAGGCACATGCGTTTATCACATGAATTGAACATGAAGTGTCTAAAATAAATGTGCACAGTTCAGCTGAATTATGAAGTTTACTTTGACTGTATGCTTTGCAGAAAATTAACAAACTGTACACTGAAACAAAATAACCAGAACATTAACAATAACTGACTCAGCCACTGATCTATGCTCGGGACGTTTTCTTTCAGAATTATCATTGGCTGATAGAAATGTTTAAAAAAAAAAAAAAAGTATTTTAGATGGAAATAAGATCAAGACCCTCCATGATGTATTCTGTCGTGCAGCGCTCAAGATTGTGGACAAGCCAGGTCCACCGTAAAATAACCTCTGAATCGTTTTTTTAATGACTTCTAATCACTTTTAGCGAGCACGAGGGAGGCGAATGGTAATCTAAAAATGAAAATAATCTTTTATCTCACAACTATCGTAATTACGGCTTTTAGCGAGCATGAGGGAGGTGAATGTGCTTCTCAAACGGAAGGCTGCATCCTAAAATTCAGATGATCTCCGTACCGACTCCTTTTCTTTCAGTTTATTTTCGTGAATTTAAATGTGTGCAGCCTTCCGTTTGAGAGGCACGCATAGATAAGCTTTGTTGAACTTTTTTACATGTAATATCTTGGAAATAATGCAGTAGTAATACATTTTGGTTTGTGGTAACTGGTACAAATAAGGTGCTACATTTTTCCTGGTTTTGCGATATTAAGTGTATTAAATATCAGGAAAATCCACTTTGCAATTATCTGCAAAACAAACCTATTATTAGTTAATTTGGTATACGTGTATACAGAATTTATGTATTTTTATTTTTTATTATTAAAGGGGTCATATGACGCGATTTCAAGTTGTTCTTTCTCTTTGGAGTGTTACAAGCTGATTGTGCATAGATAAGATCCCTGAAGTTGCAAAGACTAAAGTCTCAAAACCAAAGAGATATTCTTTATCAAAGTTAAGACTCTGCCACGTCCCCCTAAAACGCCTCGTTCTAACACGCCCCTACATATCTACCTCACTGTGTGGAAATATTAGCATAATGCGCCCAAATGTGCACGCAAAGAAAGAAGGCGTGGTTTCAGTAACCGCAGTTAGTGTTGAAGCAGCATGTGAGGGATACGCTGTGTGTTTCTAGGCGACAGCAAAAGCACTTTATTTGGCCTTCCGGAAGTAGATGCATTTAGGAAT